GGCAATCGTGCACAATACTGCGCGGATTGCCGCGCGGTCATGGAGTAGCCCACCACCGACAATCGCGCTGGCAGTGCCATTATTTTGTAATGGCACCCCAGTCACGTCGGGCAGATCGCACGGTTTTCCGCCGCAATTTTGCCTGTGCAGCCAAACACGAGCGTGGCTAAAACAGCCGTGCGTCATGTATCGCAAAAAAAAGCTTTAAAAAAAAAAAAAATTGCCACGCGAATGTACCCCACTGAAATCAATGGGGCTGCGCGGCAATCGCTCTCTGCAATTGTACGTGACCACGCGTCCCGGATTACTCAGGTCTGCACCGGCCCTCAGGAATTTTATTGTATTTTTCTGTTCTGTACAAATTGCCACATGAGAAAACATAAAGTTCCAAATCCATTCAGCGATGTCTATACAAAATAATCAGCCAATAGATAGCTGCCTTGTCTTCAATCAAACCAAAGTAAACAGCCGAGTGATAAAGATCTCCAAATAAGCCCTTGCTCCTGCCTTTGTTCAATAAACCTGAAGACATCAAACACGGTGGGCAGTGCAAGGGTTAAGTAGACTGTCTGCAGGCATGTGTTAAAAGCACACACAGCTCCTGGAACAATATACACTGGGCAGCTCTGTGCAAAGGATGGGATGTATCTCCCCCCTTCTCCTGTAACACAAAACCGCTAATTGTGTACAGACAATACACTGCAATGATTCCTAGGCCATTTTGTTATACATACAGAGAAGCAGAGACGAGCAGCTGCCCCATGTGACACATTGCAACCTTGACGAACCTCACAGATGTAGCAAACGAAATAGAAGGAGCAACAGCCATGTATTATTATTATTAAAGTGACATTAAAGGATACATTTTTTTCCCTCGCCCCCATGTTAATGTCAGCACTTACCTTAAATGATGTCCCTTAATCCGATCTTCCTCTTCTTTCCTGATGTTTTCATCTGTCCCTCCAGCGGTGCGGCGGCTCTCCGATCCAGCGCTGACTCCTCTCTGCTAGCAGGCACTTCCGATCCAGCGGTGTCTGCATGCAGGTGCACGCATCCATAGACTTAACTTGCATCTCTGCTCGTCTCCCGGCCAAGAATCTGAACTGCGCATGCGCCCGCCCCAAGATGCTTTGCGGCCGCTGGAGCAGTTTCGTTCTCTCGGACGGGAGCGCGCAGCCAAAACAAGGTGAGTGTTACGCGCTGTTAAAGCTTTTTTTTTTTGTTTTGTTTTTTAACTTTTTGCCTATATCTACTGCTTGATAGCAGTAGATATAGGCAAAAAAAACGGGAGGGTTTAGAACCACTTTAATAATATTATTATTATACAGGATTTGTATAGCGCCAACAGTTTGTGCAGCACTTTACAATATAAGGAAGACATTACAATCACAATACAATTCAAGATACAATGGTAAGGGGGGTCCTGCTCCTGAGGGCTTACAATCTAAAAGAGAGGGGCAAGTGATGCATGAGAAGGTAGCTGTATGGGGATGAATTGTTTGAGAATGTGATGGTTGAGTGGTTAGTTTGAGGTGGGACAGGCTTCCCTGAAGAGATGGGTCTTTAGGGATCACCTAAAGGCAGCCTAAATGTAGCCAACAATGTAGCCAGCTAGCTGCCAAGGCTGGAAGGCTTCTTGGATACATCATCATTGCTAATAGGACAGAGGTTCTGATTCCCCCATAGACATCTCCAGCCAGCAATCAGGGGGTGGTCAGGTTTGAAGATCCTACGTAGAGACAGCTGTGTATTTAACTTTGCTGCTGCCCTAGGCAAGGCAGCAACGCCGCCCCCCCCGGACTGACCCGCCGATTCAATCTGCCGCTCCAGGCAAACGCCTTGTTTGCCTCGCGGCAGATACGCCCCTGCGTAGAGATAATAATAAAATGGGCCAAGGAAAGAAAAGCTAAAGGGATCAAGATCTTCAACAATATTACAAATATTGGCACCCCTGCATTTCTGTCAGATAATGCACCAAAATTGCAAAATTGTATTTGCAAAATTGTTGCAATGAAAAATGTTTCGGCATTCTCATGTTTATTTCTTTTGTTTGTATTGGTATTACACAAAAAAAGTTGAGAAACAAAAGCCAAACCTGAGGAGAGAGAGAGAGACACCAACCAAAG